TGGAGAGCTGGCTTCCATTCTTAAAATCGTCCAGCTGATTAAGAGAGATTCAATTTTGGCATATGCGTCTCTCAAAAAACCAAAGAACTCAAAAGGTTCCTCGTACTTGTTTTCCAAAGTCTCAACCCGTTGACTGAGCTGCGTCGTCTCAGACTTCCATACCTCTATATCAACAATACTGCAATGTGTGCCTTACTGTAATCCATGATTGTTTGCCTTCTCTTTGCTGCTCTTCCTTTTAAATCTGTATCTCTTCTCATGCTCTGCAGAACTTCTGTTTTGCAGCAGACTGCCTTGTCTCTGAAATGGATACATGGTGTCTGTGTGAAGGTTTACAACCTGAGTCAGCACTACAGGAAGAGGCAACCAGCTGCAAAGAGAAGTTCTCCCCAAGCATGAGAAGACATGAGGATTTAAAAAGGAAGAGCAGCAAAGAGAAGGGAAACGACCATGGGATTACAGTAAGGCACACATTACAGTATTGGTTTATGTTAAAAAATCTGAGGGTTTAATGTCACTTTAACTGCTTGTTTTGTGCAGTGGGCAAAAATAAAAAAGAAACACTAGCCCAAACCTCGATCCAGCCTGGCCACAGCCTCCTCTACCCCTGGCCCCTGTGGTCTAAGGATCTGTGACATCATGGCGTCTAATTCAGGTCCATTAGACATGAAGACACCAAGGGTCATACCACAGCCAGACCAATGGGGGAGAGAGGTGAGCTGTCACTGCACTGTTTTTAACATGTACAACTTTCACTGAAAAATGCGGTCGCCTTTTTTTTGGCACGCATCTTTATGAGAATAGCTTCTTCTGCTGAATAGGCGGTGGCAGGCCACGGATGCAAATGGAGAGCTGGCTTCCATTCTTAAAATCGTCCAGCTGATTAAGAGAGATTCAATTTTGGCATATGCGTCTCTCAAAAAACCAAAGAACTCAAAAGGTTCCTCGTACTTGTTTTCCAAAGTCTCAACCCGTTGACTGAGCTGCGTCGTCTCAGACTTCCATACCTCTATATCATGGCGGCATGCTTGCTCAACCCACTGAGCAAAGTGCTCCAAATCTTCCTTAGGGGGTAGAACTTTATGTGGGCCCTGACATCTCTCATATCCCAATCACCATCCTCATCCCCAGTATCTGAAGCTGTGGTCGCGGACCCCATGGATGTTGCCGAGCCATGGGGGAATAAGGAACTCACAGAGCCTCTCCATCAGTGGGCATGATGCAGCAGTGCTCAGGAGCAGTGTGAGGACAGTCAGGTGGCCTGTCTTGCAGTGGCATCTTTAGATCAGCCTCTTGCCCTAGGTCCAGAAAGAGGGCATCTAGGGCTCCCTTCCTCTGGTACGGGGTTCTTTGAGGCTGGGTAGTATAACATTTCTTAGTTGGCATTCTTTCAGCAGGGTAGTGTGCAGTATAGCCTTCGGAATTCTATCAAATAGTCACGGCGAGCGGAAGCCTCTGAGAAGTGCATCCTCAGTGCAACATATTCACGCCCCCTGCTGTTGCTTTTTAATCTCATTTATCCTGTTTGTAAATTAAAAGATCCTCATTTTGTACTCTAAAACTAGTGGGAATATGTCTGCTAAGGTTCTCATTCATCCAGGTCATGGTATATCTGTAAAAAATAAATGAAGGCAACTGAACTTGCTGTATTTTTCTTGAAGATGTTTCACTGGTCATCCAGCCAGCTTTCTCAGCTCAAAGTGACTTGTACAAAAATTATCTGGGGCCAAAACCCTCTGGTCAGGATTCAGCAGTGTACCTACACCTAAAAGGAAAGAGCCAAACCCTCTGGTCAGGATTCAGCAGTGTACCTACACCTAAAAGGAAAGAGCCAAACCCTCTGGTCAGGATTCAGCAGTGTACCTACAGCTAAAGGAAAGAGCCAAACCCTCTGGTCAGGATTCAGCAGTGTACCTACAGCTAAAGGAAAGAGCCAAACCCTCTGGTCAGGATTCAGCAGTGTACCTACACCTAAAGGAAAGAGCCAAACCCTCTGGTTAGGATTCAGCAGTGTACCTACACCTAAAGGAAAGAGCCAAACCCTCTGGTTAGGATTCAGCAGTGTACCTACACCTAAAGTAAAGAGCCAAACCCTCTGGTGAGGATTCAGCAGTGTACCTACACCTAAAGGAAAGAGCCAAACCCTCTAGTCAGGATTCAGCAGTGTACCTACACCTAAAGGAAAGAGACAAACCCTCTGGTCAGGATTCAGCAGTGTGCCTACAGCTAAAGGAAAAAGGTCACTTCTTTGAAGACAGTCAAGTACGCATTCCAGACAGGGAGGAGGACAGGTTCAAAAGAGGTGTGACACAGGCCATTTATGTAAAAATGGAGAAGCCAAACTTGAATAGAGGTGGGGTGAAACATCTATTGTCTGCCACACACAATGCTGTTTTAACACCTCTTTCTGGGCAGGTTATTAACACCTAGCTCCAATTATGCAAATGAAATCAACACCTGGATGTCACTAAAAGATTATGTGGATTGGAGCAACATTCCCCATATTTATTGCCAGATAATTTTTGTACAAGTCGTTCTGAATTGAGAAAGCTGGTGGCATGACCACTGAAACGTCTTCAAGAAAAATACAGCAAGTCCAGTTGCCTTGACTTATTTTTTACAGATATCTAAAACTAATGTGTTGGCACTATCTATCACTATCTTTTTTTGTTCTGAAATGACCATAAAGATTTAATACAGATAATTATTCATCCCACTTATATATTAGCAGAGAAATCCTCCTTAGCTACACACAGATCAATTAATTTCAAAGGTAATCTAGTCATCACAATTCAAAGTCTGATAAAAAGAAACATTAAACTAGGATATGAAATAAATGGTGGGAAATGTAAATGAAAAACAAAATACTAACATCTGAGGTCCATTCTGAATGCCCATTCTGCTTTTATTTTGGTCAGAATCAATTGAGAGCTTGAGGTTATTAGTCTTAACAGAAGGACATGTATGGCCAAGCTTTATGCAGTTTGGCAGAGAGACATTTCTCTGTCATATTCACATTTAGCTGGAGCCCTGGTTTTTAAGACACATCATATATCATGGTAATATAAAACAAGGGCTACAATAACTAATGGTCTCTCTGGCAGCAAGCTGAAAGTCAAATTGATGTAATTTCAATTGCATTTTTATTAAAAAGTCTACCCAGAAGTGAGATTTCAATAATAGGTGGAGAATGGCGGGCTACCTTCTTATATTTAATTGCAGTCTCCTTTGTAGAGCTCTTTTCTTAAACACCTTGGAATTTAGGGTGTTGCTAAACAGTTTCAATTGTAGGATGTTTCTGCCCACCACCGTGAGTTCCCACCCTTCCAGAGACATTCTCTGCAGAATAGAAGACATTAAGATTCCAAAAAGGAGACTGGGACACCCATAGAGACTATCTAAGGTGTTCAGACCTGGGAAATTAAACACAGATACCTCACCAGCAAAGTTCTAGAGGGTTCTAAGACGCTGGTATTTGGATTAACATTAAGGGTCAAGCAAACAATAAAATAGCTTTGGATGGACTGAGCTTTTTAAATTATGAAATCAATTTAGTTTAGGAATGTACTAAGGAATCCGAGTCTACTATACAGAAATAAATAATTGGGAAAGTATTGAAGACAATTAAAAAATATATATTGTAGGCCACTATCACGTGTTGATTATAAGGCAATGGAGGCTCTTTATAGGGTATTTATGTATTTAAAAAAAAATTGGTAAGGCACAAAAAAATAAAAACAAAAAATGTAAGATCACCAATAAATAAAGTCTGGGGAAAAGATAAAGGGAGGTGAATGCCTAAGGGAAAAGCCTTAGTTACATATATCATCATAGAGTACCAAGGTACCACTAGGTAGGGATGCAACGATACTGGTATTCGTGTGTGTAGATGTCACTAGCACTCCAAATATGACAAAATACGTCAAAGTTTTAGTGAACCTTCATTTTTATTTTTTGAAGTCACTCAAAGTGGAATCAAGCTCTTTTTTTTTTAAGGAGGGTTCACTCAAAAGGTAAGAGTAACATGGGAAGAGGGGGTAGATTGGTGGGGGCAATACCATTTTCCCAAATTTGCCTTGGAAAGTGGAATTACCCTTTAACAATTATTACTCATAGCACTGTTGCAACCAACAGTCTTATTTGCTCACTGTGTACATGCAGCCAAGATATGTATAGGGTGTGAGTTTGTATTAGGGCTCTTTAGAACCTAAATTAATACCCTATGGTAAGCTGAATTATGTTCCATACAGTGCTCCAAGGACAAAAGTAACCTGTGAGACTGCTGGTTCTAAAGGCAGTGAGCAGGTTAATCATATCACCGCAGAACACACACAAAGAAAACGAAAAATCAGCTGTTTGATGTGGAGTTGTAAACACTGACTGCCAGGCGTGAATCACAAGGCCTATGAATAATAAATAGCATCACATTCCATTCGCTTCAATCCATTTGATGCAGGATGGGAAGAACTGGGGGTCTGTGAAACAAAAGCACAGGCACTCCCCCTCCCTAACAATATCCTCGTACAGGAAGCTTTACAGCCAGTGGCCCACAAACCACCAGATTAATCATCTTCTTTGTACAACCTCAGCCTCATGTTGCCATAAGAATTATAGATTAGCCAAACAAAGCAATGGCATGCTTTACTTGAATGGGACATATAGTCTAATTATTTTTATAGATATGCATGTAAAAATGATCAGCATGATGTACACAATCTTACAAATGATTGTTACGGTCTTAGAAAATCCTGTTTCCACAAATAATTTGTCATTATAAATGTACATGGAGGCAGCCATATTTCCTTATTACATACTCAAGCTCTGTCTTCTGTTTTGCAGCCACAATGGGTCCGCTTTACTGCTCCTTCTCGCAATGCAAGTCTTGCACTTGAGCTAGGTGACATACTAAAAACAAAAGGCGCCTCGGATGATATCAGAATTCAACACTTCTATATAACGATAAAGATTAGCTATAGTAATAAAAGGTTCTTCAATATTACCAGTAGTTCATCCATGCTGGTCTGACATTTTTCTAGATTGATCCTCTTGATGGCCACCTTTTCTTTCTTGGGGGCACAGTAGGCAGCTTGGACCACAGCTGTCGCCCCACTTCCTGTGAAAAGTGTATTTGTTACGTTAGTCTTTAATGCACATCATACAGTGAACGAGATAAAGTATAAGTTCACACAACATGGATATTTCAGTTACAATTGGTTTCTAGCAGGCTAAATAATATATAGACTTTTAATACTTTTTATTTCCAGCAGAGAAATATTCCCACCAGCATCCTACTTCCAACCAACTGCTGAACCTAATTCATGAACAGATTATTCCATCATGCTTCCCCTATAGGTTCTCCACAATGTCAGACTGCAAGATAGGGATATCTTCATAATAGGCTTGTAGAAGGAGGCAGATATATAAATGTACAAGTCGCACCATTAGAATCACTAAGTAATAAAAGAAGCTACTATGTGTCTGGGTGGAGTTGGTCTTGGAGAGAGGAATATCATACACCAATAAAAAAAAAAAGTTCACAGATCTTTACAGATCAGTACTTGCCTAGAAACATTACAATTGTATCCACTACACTTAGTGTTAAAAATAAATCTTTTAAAATGTACCAGCTCCAGCCCCATCATTCACTGACCTAGAACAAGCAGGACAAGAGTTCACAATACTCAGACTTCACTAGCTATGTGCTTGTTGCAGGTCAATAACACACTAAGAAGACAGAATGAGGATGACAGTCTTCACAAATTACCTTTAAAAAGTAAACACCTATAATTTGGGGCCAGCTGTATTTATATTAAAGGTTTATGGGTACTGTGGGTTTTCTTAATAGTAGCACACATAAGCCATTTACTTTCAGACTCAGAAACATCATGGGGGACATGTGAAGGTAAAAGAAGGGTAGGGGAGGAGTACCTACGTTGACTTGTTCAATTGTGAGTTCAAATTTAGGCATTATCTATTGAGTTCTGTATACAGGCTTTTTTCAACAGTAGAGCTAAGGAGACATAGGAAAACAAGCAAAAAGTAACCAATCGCTACCCCTGCTGGCTGGAAATTTTTAAAAAAACCTTGGATAATCATATGCAATCTTTCAGTTTTACATAGCTAGGAAAATTATATTAAAAACAAAACATTTCAGTGCTGACACTAAGAAAATCTGTACAACTACTCTAAATATTGCTTTTAATCTGACAATACATATCAACTGGATGGGAATATACAATCCAATGGCTAATCTTGCAATGAGAACAAACTAAATAAGTTCACAAAACCCTTTGTAAGAGTAACAAGGATTAGGACACAAGATTTTCTGTTGTAAATAAAAATATGTCCAACAATGCAGGTTTTGTATTCTTCAAAAAGACCTTTCATTACTGGACAGTGTGCTGACAGATGCAATGTTTAAGGTCAGGCTGTTCGACCCCCCACATGCATTTTCTTGTCCTTGTGCAGGCACATAACCAGACCCCATATGCATTCTCCTTTCCACATGTAGATGCACAACCAGACCCCACATGCATTCTCCTCTCCACATGTAGATGCACAACCAGACCCCACATGCATTCTCCTCTCCACATGTAGATGCACAACCAGACCCCACATGCAGATACATAACTAATCACTGGGAACCTGTCCTGTTCTTACACTGGGATTTGTATTATTGAAGAGTCCAATCACAACACTACAAAACACAGATCAAGATAAATTAATGTAACAGCAAAGCTGAGCACCCAGAGGTGAGTGCACACAGAGTGCAATAGTGCTAATATAATAGCCATCCATTGCACACAATTAATTGCTAGTGATACAGTTGCATGTAGTAACAATTGATGGTGGTTACTACTAACAATAAATCCTTTCTACATACAACACTCCATTGTTCCCTATCCATAGTGATCATTATTGCTAGCAATTGTATTTGCACTATATTGATACAACAACAAAAAAAACATTTACGCTGAACATAAGGTAAACCATAGCCAAATGTTTGAAAGCCAAGAGACACAAAAATAAAGAAATACAGAGTTAGAACACTCAGGCATTTGTTTCTCATACCTAAACATGTTCCCATCGAAGAAAGCATAGAATCTATACAGACCATGAAATACCTTAAAAAACAGATAAAACTTGTTCTTCAGAAAAATGTGGGCGCCTTTGCAGTTCACTGCAGCTGTGATTATTTTGATTTATTCAGTAAAAACAAGTGCTAGAATGAGCTATGCAAACAAAAGAAAGGAGAGTTCAACTCAAGTTTCCTGAACTATACTGTAAAGAGACTTCTTACTGAACTTGGCAACAAATGTTCAGAGGTAGAAAGTGGCCTATGAGGGTCATTATTATAAATATAACCCTTTCCAGCACTTTGTGACGTCCGCCAAGTTACACTGAACAGCTGTATGCGTGTGGATCAGGAAAAGTGCCTGGTGGAAGCAATGGACGTCACCAAGCCAACACTTTCTGACTGGCACAAGACTAGAGCAACATTTACAATCATCTTCTCTACCTCCATGGTTGAGGTTTAGTTCGAGTGGGCGGACAGATCACAGATACAATTTAGAGAGATGGTATATCAGAGCTACTGCACATCATGAGTAATGTGCAGTGTAGTGTGATTGACTGGAATTGCCAGTAACCAGTAAGAACATACTAAAAATATCTGATCTATTAGAGGCAATTATTAACAATTACATATTCAGAACAAGCAGCAAAATTGCTTTACAACAAGCCCTCATTCACCTTAACATCTATAGGTATTAAATCTAAAGTTCACAACACAGTTATTGAAACCTTAGCTTTTTATCTACGAGGAGATGTTGGCTGTCTGCCAATCTTCTGATGTAAACAATCATGAGATGTTTCTAAGACACCAACTAAAAACCCAACTCTAGGATCTTTGTTGTATGCGAGAAACAGCTTGTTTACTGCAACTTTAGTTGTTTTTCTTTTAAAAAAATGTGAACAGGAAGGTTCATTTTTATTGCTAAAGATATATACTATGTCTATTTTGCAATAAAGGCTTCCTAACTTACCTTCCTGTTCGCAATTTCTTTGTGTGTGTGTGTGTGTGTGTGTGTGTGTGTGTGTGTGTGTGTGTGTGTGTGTGTGTGTGTGTACACACTGAGCTGCACATGGACAACAATCTCAATACAAATTAGTAAACAAGACACGAGATTGTAGACCATCACGGTAGTGAGCCTGGAGCGGTGGCTACTTTACAACACACACCGGGACCATGGGGAACAAAAGTAGCCACTCTGCAGAAGGAAGGACAGTGTTGGCACCAATTCAGAGATGATTTAAGGATCCAATACATACTAAGTGATGCACAACTAAGGTACATTTTTGGTAATAGTTAAGGTACTTGAATGCCTTTTTAAGACTTAAATCCTGAGTTTAGTTTCACTTTAAAAAAAACAGAAACAGGAACGATACCGCACTCCTTACCAGGATTCCCACTTGATGAGGATGGGTGCTCGAAATGACTGCGGATGGCACCGCCACACATGAACAATAGAAAAATGTCACCAGCACAACATAAGTTGAAAAAGCGAAATATTTTATTGCCAATAGCTGTATCTCTTTGGCAAGCGCTTTCGTGGCCTTGCACTTAACTGGACATACCTGACTAATTTTGGAAAATAATGAGACTTATTTGTACATTGAGCTTCTAGCATTGGAAAAGGCCAAAATAAGCTGAATGTCGTGTGATGACTTCCAACTTATAAGGAGGACTGTTGCCACCTGGAGTCTACATCCACTTGCTAAATAAGATCAATGGCTACATGGCTGTTTAAGATATTATGTGACCTACTGAATGGACCTTTTTTTGGTTCAGCACTCTATAGTGACTTGAATTGCACTGAAACATTTCAATATGATTATTCTGTGCTTGCAATATACTGAAATAAGAAAACTAATTAAGCAGCCACATATAAGAACTTGAAAGCTGCAGTATTTTGCATTATTATTCTTGAGTATAAACATTCTTTACCTTTTACTCAAAAAGCTTTATAGAGCATTAGGGAACACCCTCTCCAAATCTATGCAAACGTGTTTCAGTTCAGCAGGAGGTAGATACATTGCTCTTATCCAGGAGCAAGTGCAAAATAATTCACATTTATGATGCGATTGTGAAAAGCATAAAAAAATCCTTTTTCACTGTTGACCACCCAGAGATGAGAAACTTCAGAAACCAGACAACACCATTGCCTAGTGTTCCACTGTTAAAAGTAAAAAGGTCAGATGCTGTACAATACCAGCCATATCATTACTGAGCTTTACCAAGGAAAGTTGTATCAATCTATAGACAAGTTATCTTTCTCTGTTTCAACAATGAAAAAAATATCTTTATAGCCAAACTCCAGTTCAAAAAAATAAGAAAAAACAAACAGCCCATTAAAGATACAATAAAAGTCGTTTTTGTGGCAATACTCACCTTCAATGCAGAGCTGCCACTAGATATCTCAAGCTTCGAGACTGGGCGACAGCCAGAATCATTCAACCCATTTCCTTCTAGGCCAGGCTGTCATGGACCCGCCCCCCGTCTCCAGTCTAGACAGTGAAGCAGAAGCAGCGCTGTAATGAGCTCATCTCTCTGTCACACCAGTTACTCTGCACCTGGATGCTAAAAGTCTGCACCCAGGTCTAGTTCTCCGCAGGTAATCACAGGCTGTGCGAATACTTGCGACCAGCTGCAGGCAGTGGCAGTTGTCATTGGATTATACAGTGCATCCTGTGCGCATTAGATTGCATGAGTTTCATGGAGGAATTTTTGAGACTCATGAGACCAGTCCCATTTGCAGGTGTGAATGGGGTCTAAGAGTATTCAAAGAACAGTAAGCCCCATTCCAGCCAATTACATCTCAGTGACATAAACATATATTATATGATACTTGAAGGGTCCAACAGTACAGTTCTGTCTTCTTCTGAACACACCTTGAAGCAAATACTGAAGTAATGATATGTACAAAACTAACGAGTTAGTTTCTTGAAAAATGTTTCTGCAATGCAGGCCTAAATGTTACCAACCACAGGGAAACAGAATTCTACCATTTGCAGCAAATTCCAGGAATAGTGTTAAAAGTGAAGCTTTAAATA